GCTGGGATTAAAGGTGTGCACCACCACACCCGGCCCCTCCAGCCTCAAGTTTTAAATTTCGATCAAGTTTGTTTATCCATTATTTGTGTTTTTGTTCTCATATGGTCATGCTTTTTGTTCCATGTCTTAGAAAAGGACTCTATTGAAACCATTTTTCATATAATTCTGAGATTCACTTTATTCCTGGGACTGGTTTAGTGATTAGATTCACTCATTGTGTCAGCTTTGTTGAAATACAGAAGGACTTTTCTGTGTGGTAGTCTTATTGTTTGAGACTCTTGTGGCTGTAACTCAGTTGGTAGACTGCTTGCCTAGCACACTTGAAACTCTGGGTTTTGTTCTTAGCACCATGTAAACTGGGCATAGTGGCACGTGTCTATAATCCCAGCACTTGAGAGAAGGAGGCAAGAGCATCAGAAGTTCAGTATCATCCTCAGCTACATAATGAATTCAAGGCCATAAGATACATGGGATATGAGACTGTCTGTCTCTGTCTCTGTCTCTCTCTGTCTCTTTGTCTCTCTCTCACACACACACTCACACATACACACACATACACAGGGCTTTGCAAGATTTGGTGGCAGAGGTCACCAAGATTTGGGAGGCTAAGCAGGAGAATCATAAATTCAAGGTCAGTCTAGCATATAGAGTGAATTCAAGGATAGCCTTGGACAACTTGGTAAGATCCTGTCTCAAGTAAAAATAAAAAGATCGGAGTCTTTATCTCAGTGGTAGAGTACTACCTAACATATGTAAAGTCCTGGGTTCAATGTCCAGCTGTGCCTAGATTTAAATTTTGACTCCCTCCTTCTTAACAATGTTATCTTGGGAAAGTGGCTTGTTTGTTACTGCCTGTCTCATCTGTAAAATATGGATGATAATATTACTTCTCTCAGACAATATAAAGTATATAGAAGCCAGGCTTAGAGCTTATATTTATAATCCCAGAACTTGGGAGGCGAAGGCAGGATGATCAGGATTCAAGGTCATTCTCAGCTACATAGTATGTTTGAGGTCAGCCTGGACTACATGAGACCCTTATCTTAAAAAGCAAAGCAAAACAAAAACATTGAAGTGTCTAGAAAATGCAGGGGTGGGGGGCGGGGAAGAGGTGAAGAAATATTGCATCTGCTAGAGGACTATCCCCAGCTGTGTCTGTGGTAGGGTTGTGCATATTGCGTCATTTAGGAAGCTTTGCCTGCCTTTCCTAATGTAGCAGGTAGTGCTGTGGGTTAGAAGAGGATGGTATGCACCATACTTTGCCTTCCTTAATTGTTTAAAGATGATTGTTGCCTTTTTTGGAGACAGTCTTACTATGTACTACAGGCTGGCCTCAAAACTTAAGTCTCCTCACCTCAGCATCTCAAGTGAATACTAGGTTTACAGGTTTGTACCATTGTGTCCTGTTTTAATAATGTTTGTTCCTTAAAATCTTTCCTAAATGAGGCAATTGGGTTGATGGGTAGAATCCTAAAGCTCTTTCATCAGATATAAAAATAGCTCAAGCTCCATTAACACCTAGAAAATGGGTAATCTATTAACTCCTGTTGCCAAGGCAAAAGCTGGGCAGTATTTCTTAGGCAAACCAGGAACAGGATACAGGCTATCAGTGTTCGATAAATACACTTCTTTGGAGTGTCTTATTAGGCACAGGATCTGATTATGGAATTTATAATTCAAAGGTAGAATTTTTCCTGCTTGGCTCCTATTTGGAAGAGAGTCTCAACCTTTTTCTTGTTTTTATTTATAGAATGAGGTATATGAAATATAACACTTCCCTACCATTAAAAGGATAAAAAGCATCTTTATGGTACTTCAAACTTGGTCAGCCTGGAAGACATTATTCTAAGTGAAGAAAGTCACTGAGGCTGTATGTTGCCTGATTGCCTTTATGTGCTGTATGCAGAATAGGCAAATCCAAAGAGACGGAAGTCAAATTAGAGCTTTCCAACAGAGAGAGACCAGGAAATGATTATTTAATGGATCTGAAGCATTTCTATGAGGTGATGAAAAAATTTTGAAACTTACATGAGAGCTTAGTGGCCACACAATATGAAAATGTAAATACCACTGAATTATGCACATTAAAACAGTCAGTTGAATTTCACTTCAATTAAAGGATCCATGAGGTGTGTTTGCCTTTGTGTCTCCCAGAGGCAAATATATGACAGTATAATGGGTGACTAAGGGGTGATGATGCTGGGGAAGGATGACTGTCTTGGATGTGGCAACAACGCTATTTTAGTAACCCTTTGAACTCATTGCTCACTCATCTTTGTGCTTGATGGAACTTATTTATTGATTGATTGATTTGTGGTGCTGGAGATTGAATCTAGAGCTTCTCACATGCTAGGCAAGTGCTCTGCCACTGAGCCTCATGATAGCCCTTAGAATTTAGTTTTAGTGCAAAGCTGTATTATCCAAAATACTGCAGTGTATATTAAGACAGAAACAGCCCTATGATTTTTCTTTAGTTTTGTTTGAGACAGTCTCACTCTATAGCCCGGATTGGCCTCAAACTCAAAATCCTCCTGTCTCAGCTTCTCAAGTACTGAGATAACAGCTATGCTTCACCACACCCAGTTTGAACCATCTACTTTTTTATAGAGTATGTTATTTGGGGGGATGTTCATAGGGTAAGGTTTTTTTTTTTTAGTCTTTTTGAGACAGGGTCTCCCTGTAGCTCCAGCTGGCCTGAAACTCACTATGTAGACCAGGCTGGCCTTGAACTCACAGAGATCCACCTGTCTCTGCCTCCCGAGTGCTGGGATTAAAGGCATGTGCCACTATGCTGGCTTTAGGGTAAGTTATTCTTTAGGGAGTCCAAAAGGGACTCAGTTGCCTTGAAATCAACAAAGTTGATGTTTTCCCTTGGCACCTTCATCGCGCATTCCAAAGCTTTGAGAGCTGCCTTCAGGGGAAGTGGTTTCAGGTCAGTTGCAGCTCTGTTGCTCCAACTCTGAAGTATGTTCTGTCTTCAGGAGTAGGGTCTTACTTCAAGTTCTGGGAGGCCATCAAGGGCTGTGGCAATAACCTGAGTAATTTTAGGAGTCTTTTGGACCTCCCTGGCCAACAACTCAAAGGAAAAGAGAAATAATGCCTAGTTAGTTTTAAAAAACCAGAGGGAATCAGCTGGGTGTGGTGGTACATGCCTTTAATCCCAACACTGGGAGGCAGAGGCAGGTGGATCCCTGTGAGTTCAAGGCCATCCTGGTCCACATCACATAGCAAGTTCCAGGACAGCTGGGGCTACAGGAAGACTCTGTCTCAAGAAGACCAAAAAAAAAAAGAAAAGAAAAGAAAAGAAAAGAAAAGAAAAAGGATATTAGTCCAGCAACCTAATGAAAAATTACATATGCATTATCTCTACATGAGTCCATGTGTATAGTTTATAGTTAAAGGCTACATAACAAGAAACAGTACCAGACAGCAGATTGATTTTTTAAAAAAATATTTATTAATTTTTGTTTTGTGAGTGTATTGTCTGCATGTATGTAAGTGTACCACATGCGTGCAATGCCAGAAAAAGGTGTTGGATCCCCTGCAACTGGAGTTAAGGATGGTTGTTAGCCACCATGTGGATGCTTGGAATTGAACCGGGTCCTCTACAAGAGCAGCCAGTGCTCTTATCCACTGAGCCATCTCTCCAGCCCCAGGTTTCTTTCATTTAACATCATGTTTTCATATTGTAGCATATATTAGTACTCCGTGCCTGTTTATGATAATAGTGTTTATTCACTTTTTTATTCAATTGTGTTAACAGTCTGTTTTTCCACTCATTTGCTGATACACAGTTGGGCTAATTTCATCTCTTGATGTGACTAGCACTTTGGGGAACATGTATTTGTTTGGGCCTTGTTTCCATTTTCTTGGGCATATACCTCGGAGTAGAACTGTGTGGTAATTCTGTATTTAGCTTTTTGAGCACTGCCAGAATGTTTTTCACAGTGAGTACCCTGCACTGCTTTACCTTCCTGGCAGTGTCTGAGGCTTACAGGCTCTAGCGTCCTTGTCAGTGCTCTTTCCCTCTCTCTCGCCATTATTTTGAGAAGTGGCACCTCATTGTGGTTTTCTCTGGATTTCCCTAAATTATTAATGACGTTGAAGGTCTTGGTGTGCTCGTTACTAGAGCTGTTAGTGTTTCTTCTTTGGGAGAATGTCCATCCAAATGTGTTTTTGTTGTTGAGTTGTAAGAATTATTTATGTATTCCAGATATTAGACCTTTAATAATGCAAATATTTCTCCCCCTGTAAACTGTCTCCTTCCCTCCCCCTTCCCTCCCGCTTCCTCTCTCCTCTCCTCTCTCCTTCTGCGCCCTCCCCTTTCTTTCCCTTCCTTCCCTGTTTGTTTCTGTCTTTGTTTCCTTTGCCTTACTTTATAGCCCAGGGTGGCTTTGAACTCATGATCTTCTTGCTTCAGTCTCCACAGTGCTGGGGTTGCAGGTGTGCACCGGGCTGAATTTCTTCTCACTTTCTTATGATGAATGCACTAATGTTTTGAATTCTGATCAGTCCAATTTCATGGTCTCTCTTCTTTTGTTTATGCTTTTGCTGTCTTATTTAAGAATCCATTGCCAGATTCAGAGTCATGGAAATTTAATTCTAATTATTTTCTGGATGTTTTGTGGCTTAGCTTTATGTCTAAGTTACTGGCCCACTTTGAGTTAAATTCTCTGTGTGATGGGGTCCACCTTTGCCCTTCCTGTCTGTGAAATTGCCATGCTTCAGCCTCATTGGTTGAAAGTCAGCTGGCCACGTGCATGTGGGTTTATTTTCTGATTCTCAGTCATATTCTTGCCATTTACTTATGTTTGTTTGTTCTCTTGTTTTTCTGAGACAGTGTTTCACTATGTAGCCCAGGCAATCCTGGAACCTGCAGCCATCCTCCTGCTTTATCCTCCTAATGCTGAGATTACAGGCCTGAGCCACTTTGCCCTGGTTAGTCTTTCTCTTTGCTTCTGTATGAGCTGAGTTTATTGTTTGTCTTCTTCTGATAACAGGATCGTGGGGTTGACAGCTCCATTTTCCAGAATCCCAAAAAGCTTCACCTAACTATTGGGATGTTGGTGCTGTTAAGTGAGCAAGAGATCCAGCAGACATGTGAGATTCTTCAGCGCTGTAAAGAGGATTTCATTAAGTAAGTCATTGGCAGGAGTGGGGAGGGTGGTCAGCCCAGGTTGGTGTCTTCTTGGTGTCACAGACTTGTTTCTCGACTAGGGAGCTGGATGACATGGGAATGAGGTTTGTTGACGCATTCATTGTGGTACTTGACATTGGACTATCGTCTGAAAAGTTGAAAATGAACTTGTGGGGATGGAGAGATGACTCAGCGGTTAAGAGCACTGACTGCTCTTGCAGAGGACCCAGGTTCAAATCCCAGCACCCACATGGTGGGTTCAATTCCCAGCATCCACATGGTGGCTAACAACTGTCTGTAACTCCAGTTTCAGGAGATCCAATGCCCTCTTCTGACCTCCTCTGGCATTGCATGACATAGGTGCACTTACACACATGCAGGCAATGTATTCATACATGTAAAATAAAAATAATAAATATTTTTAAAAAGGACTTAAAGCAGTAAGATTTTTTTTAAAATAGGGTCTTCCTGTAGCCCCAGCTGCCCTGAAACTCTCTATGCAGAGAGAGCTACCTGCCTCTGTCTCCCTAGTGTTCATGTTAAAGGCCTGGGCCCAGCCCAGAGGGAATTCTTTATGAAGGTGTTAACAAAAAAATAGAGAAATGTGATTGGTGAAGGGACATACCAAAACTAAGATTAGTTCTTTTATCATGTAGGAATATACCAAGGAAAATTTCAAATATCTTAGACAATTTTAAAATACCTAAATATAAAAAGATTTAAGAAACATCAAAATGAGACTTAAATTTTCAGTTACTTGAAGCACTTACCTGTTGATATAGTCAAAGATGAGTGTCCCAGCTGTTCTGAAGTCCATGTAGATGTGTTCTCAGAAGCTGTCACAGGTTTGAGGTGAAAAATACAAACCGAAGACTTTATCTGCTGAAGCTTTACAGCAGAGGATGTGGTCAGAAGCCCCTGATAAGAGTCTTTTGGAGTCCTTTCTTGGGGCTGGTGAGCTGGCTCAGTGAGTAAAAGTACTTGCTGCCATGCCTGATGATGTGAGCTGGATCCCCAGGACCCACATGGTAGAAGAGAACCAACTCCCACAGGTTGTCCTCTGACCTCCATTCATGTGCCTCATGGCATGAGTGTGTGTGCATACAGATAATAAATAAATAAATAAATAATAACAAATAAATCTTTAAAGAGCCCCTTCTCCTCCAGAAACAAGTCTTGGTTGTGGTATCTTTTTCCAGTTTATGAAATCACCTGGTTTTAGCTCTCATTTTTCTAGTTTTCTTCTTGGCTCTCACTGTGGAAAGACTCTATAGCCAATTCTGAAGTTTCAGTTATCATGTTTTTTTAAAATAAATAATTTATTAAGAATTTCATACATGCATATAAGGTGTTTTGATCAACTCCGTGCCCACTCCCTCTCCTCCAACTCCTCCCATATCTCCCCATCACTTTTTTTCTGATAACTTCATGTACTCTTTCTTCTTCTTTGATTTATATATTTTTTATGGGGCTTTTGGCTACTCTAACATTCTGCCCTCTGAAGAGATAACCCTAAAATCTTTTAAAGACTAGATAAAAACTCCCAAATATTTTCGACGTTTTTGGCCTTTTGGAACAGAGTATGTTGCTAAGAGGCCCAAGGACATTGTGAGTTTTAGCCAAGAAACTGGCTACTTTTCTTTGGAGTCTTTTAACCCTAACTGCCTAGCCAGTTCCTACCTCCTATTCTTATCATGCCATCCTCTGAAGAGGTTACCCAAATTGACAATAAGGAATAGGGACGCCGACCGCTCTGGCTTCTTCCATGCTGAACAGGGATGCAGGGTGAGGCAATTGGAGTACCCCTTCAGTGGGTCTATCTAAAAGACTCCCAAATTGCATAACTCTTATCTTGAGGAGGAAAGGAAAGTCTTTGAATCAGGAATGGGAGATGTGAAGGAGAAGTAAAGGCAAGAATAATTAGCATTACAAGTTCTAGACAGGGATCTAGAAAAAGTCAGAACAGGGCAATTTTCACCAAATGTTCATATGAGAGTCTGTTGGAATTTCTTGACAAGGGCTTCCAAAAACATTCCTCTATTGGGGGTCCTCCTCATTTTTCTTTTGTCTTCCAAGGATGGACTCATATAATTTGGATTTTTAAAATAGTTTTTAGATTGGAAAAGTCTTATTTTAAATCTTCCAAAAGAACTCCATTTTAGAGGTTATCTCTGTTTAAAATATTTTATTATTTATTATTTTATGTGTATGAATGTATTGCCTGTGTGTATGTGAATGTACTCATGTTGCGTAATGCCCATGGGGGTCAGAAGAGAGCGTCGGATTCCTTGGAACTGGAGTTAAGGTCAGTTAGCGGCCATGTGGGTGCTGGGAACCAAACCCAGGTCCTCTACAAGAGAGCCAGTGCTCTTAACTGCTGAGCCAGCTCTCCAGCCCCTGTTATCTCAATTTTAAATCCATCCTCCTAGAACTTAAACCACATAAAAGTCTTCCTACTATAAGAAAGTGAAAAATATTAACTGGGTCTAAATAATTGTTTACTGTTTCTAGAGCTGGAGAAATGGTTCAGTGGTTAAGAGCAGATATTGCTCTTGCAGAGGATCTGAATTTGGTTCCCAGCACCCACATCACAACTGCCTGTAACTCTAGCCCCAGGGGATCAATACCTGGCATCTCGGGCACCTGCACTCATGTGTGCAAAGCCTCCCCCACTCCCCAAAAAGCCCCAAGAATACACCTAAAAATAATAAAAATAAAGCTTTAAAGAATTAGATTACTGTTCCTATTGATATTAAAAATGTTAAGATATAACAAATGAAAGTCTCTGACAATCCCTATGGCAGACTTCTGGTTACCTCAAAGTAATTATAACTCCATTCACTCTTATTAAGATTACCCAAAGATTTGGGTAGCTTTTCTTATCCAAATTATATTTAAAAAAGTCAGTCTCCAGTTACACTATTCATGCTGTTTATACCTTAAAAGCCATTGTTTCTTGATTGAATGAGTTGTTTATAGCATCCTTAGTATTGGGATTAAAAAATTAAACAATATTCAATATTCATATTTTGCTAATAAAAAGTAAACAGGGAGTCGGGTGTGGTGATGCACACCTTTAGTCCCAGCACTCAGGAGGCAGAGGCGGGCAGATCTCTGTGAGTTCAAGGCCAGCTTGGTCTACATAGTGAGATCAGGACAGCTGGGGTTACAGGGAGACCCTATCTCAAAAAGCCAAAAAAAAAAGTAAACAGGCAAAAAAAAAAAAAAAAGGACTTTAAAGCATGTATTCATAGTTTTAAAATACTTCTTATTTTTATATTTTTATATATTTTTTGGTCTTTTTTTGAGACAGGGTCTCCTTGTAGCCCCAGCTGTCCTGGAACTCACTATGTAGACCAGGCTGGCCTCAAACTCACAAAGATCCGCCTGCCTCTGCCTCCCAAGTGCTGGGATTAAAGGCGTGCACCACCATGCCCGGCTATTTTTAGATTTAAAAAAAAATTTATTATTTTTATTTTATGTGTATGGATGTATTGGCTGCATGCATGTAAGTGCACCTGTGTCGTGCAACGCCTATGGAGGACAGAAGAGGCTGTCGGATCCCCTGGAACTGGAGTTACCACCGACAGTTGTTAGCTGCCATCTGGATGCTGGGATTCGAACCTGGCTCTTCTGCAGGAACAGCCAGTGTTCTTAACTGCTGAGCCATCTCTCCAGCTCCCTAGATTATTATTTTTAAAATTTCTGTTCATGTATGTATTTCTGTGTGAGTGTATGCCACATGTGTGCAGGTACTCACAGAGGCCAGAAGAGGACATCAGATCCCTCGAAGCTTGAGCCACAGGCATTTGTGAGCTGCCTGATGTGGGTGCTTGAACTTGGGTCCTTGGGAAGAGCAGCAAGTGCTCTTAACCATTGAGTCCTCTCTCCAGCTCAATGTACTCATAGTTTTAAAATTATACTAGTTATTAGGCAAATTTTGTTCTTAAACAGAACATCCCATTGTTTGACCCAAAGTAACACATTATTGCAACTTCAGTGACTTAAAACAGTAGATATTGTTCATCTGTGGGTCAGAAGATTGGTTTATTTATTTTAAAAATATTTTGTGTGTGTGTATTACACACACATGGCATGGCATACATGTGAAGGTCAGAGGTCAATTTGGGGGAGTTCATTCTCTCTTCTACCATGTGGGTTCTGGGGATTGAACTCAGGTCATCAGGCTTGGCAGCATGCACCTTTATGTTTGAGCCATCTCTCTGGCCCAGATCAGAAGATTTATATGATTATCATTGGACTGAAATTAAGGTGTTGGCAGGGCTGCAGTTATTTCTGAGATACTAAGGAAAAATCCATTTCCTTGCCTGTAAAGTCCACCCTTGTAGAGATTGCCCACATTCTTTGGCTAATGACTTCTTTCCTTGACCTTCAATTCCAGCCACATTGTATCTCTCTGGCCTTTTTTCTTGTCACCTCTCCCTCTCTCCCTGTATCAGGAACAAGTTGTAGGCTTTTAAATATTGTGTGATTTGATTGCATCTATGTAAACAATGAAGTTGATCTGTCTGTGTCAAGCTCTTTAACCAAGATGTACAAGAAGTGGGATGTGGTTCTCTTTAGGAGGGCCTGCCACAGGAACTCAAAGTATAGCAGCATTGCTTAGGAAATGCTTCACTATATTTCTGAAACAATTCTTCCTCCTCCTCCCCTCCTCCTCCTCCTCTTCTATCTCTCTCTTTTTTATTTTTTTAAATTTTATTATTTTTATTTTTTATGTGTATGTGTGTATTGCCTGCATGTATGTAAGTGCACCCATGTCATGCAGTACCTGAGGAGACAGAAGAGGGTATCAGATTCCCAGGAATTGGAGTTACGGACAGTTGTTAGCTGCCATGTGGGTGCTGGGATTTGAACCTGAGTCTTCTGCAAGAACAGCCAATGTTCTTAACCACTGAGCCTTCTCTCCATCTCTCTTCTTTTGTATTTTATTTATTATTTTTATTTTATATGTATGAGTGTATTGACTGTATGTATGT